TGAATCAAACTGTTCACCATAATTGATTAATTGCCGATTGTATTCGGGGATCGGTTCAAGCGATCTCCACTTTTTTTAATTAAAAGAGACACTATGTAATTGTACGGGTTGCAACATTGAGTCAGAAAGAATGCAGGTCTCGATAACATAAAATATATGTCCACAAAAAAAATATTTTAATGGAAATAGATCTATTTTCGATTGAAAAAAAATTGTAACAGACAAGCTTCGAACCCAATGAACGATACACTGTTCTGTTGAATACACGCTTCTTGTTCTAACAATTGAGATACCGCGCCCTATTCTCATATAGTTTGTACGAGGAATGCACATTTATATAAAACACTTTTAACAGTTTGAAACGCGAATATATCGATTAGCTTACCATTATTAGGTGGTCATGGCGAAACGTAATAAATTATACTTAAGTTAAATAATATATTTTACGTTTCTATGTGTTTTATTAAAATGAAAGTCAACGTTACATTTCTCCTTTTTTACCATTGAAGCAGTAATAGAGTTTTTACTTTTGGTAATGAGGAGGAAAAAAGGGAATTAATCTATGGATGAAATTATGTAAGATTACTATATTAAAACTATTTTAATCTGTTCTACTTCAAATAACTAAACCAACGCATACTAGAATATATAACGTTAAACAAAAAAGCGACCAAGCAAACAAGATGCAATATAAATCAGTCAGAACGTGCAATGATAAGAAATTACCAACTCCGCTCATAATTCACCAAGAGTGCACATTCATTCATTCTGATTAAAATTATTATGTTTATTTAGTTGCAGTCAACAAATATATTATTTAACGTATTTTTAATTTGGTTAACTAGGGCCTTACGTTTTGGATGAGATCACCAACGACGGTCACAGTGGGACTATCAGGCCGTAATTACAATATATAAGTTAACGTATATATTTTATGTTTTAAGCCGTAAGAAGCGTTTTTTAAGTAAGTAAACTGTATTGCCTGTAGTTAGCGCGCGTAGCACTAAACTATGACCGCCTCTGTAGCCAAATGGTTAAACGTATTGCCTAGCATTGCGTTGCGCGAGAGATCCGAGGCTCGAATCCCAGGGAAACAAAAAAATCGTTTCGGTCGGGCAGGGCACAGAAGTCTGATTACTACCAACTACTTGCCCGTTAAAAGAACTGATCAGTGAAACGGACTCAGAAATGTCTTCGCCCCATTCCCCACGGGGGCAAACGGGCTTCCACTTTTTTTATTGACTAAAAATTTATCTTTCGTTACATTAACATAATGTATACAGCAAATAAAATAGTTTTTTCAAGTTCCATCTAAATTTGAAACTAACAGTCACAGAACAGAACAGAAGATTTAGTATTATGAAGTACAGGAGTCTTTAAACCGTTAAAAGTGTTTTATTTTACTGTGTACTCGCGTAAACAAAGAATGTCCCACGCCCCATTCCTTTAGAGAAACAACAGTATTTCACTGATACATAACAGTATGTAATGTGAACTAACCTTTAAAATCGAAGCCTACGAGCCCACTGACATACGTCTCTTCGTCTCGACAGCTGTTTCGTAATTTAATTAAAAAATTCACAGAAACGAAGGCTCACCGCTTGCAATCTTACAAATTGCACCGCTCCACCGCTCATTCGGAAACATAATTTTAACCTTTATCGTATATTTTAAAATTAACCGATGGACGCATTCAGTGTTATGCGCAATTTTTATTAAATCCCACAAAACCAATATTTTCAAGTCGTTGACGCGGACGCGCGCTACTAAATTGGATTCCCTTTACTGAACTCATCACACAACATAGCTATAATATTTCTTGAATTATCTACATGTAATTAAGAAACAACTTAACTAGACGTGGCAAAGTGTTACGTAAAAATATAGAGTTCGTAACATAGGTTTTATTAACATACAACTCAAACAAATAATAGATGGTAATAGTGCAATTTTGCACTAAATCCAATCACCAAAAATGGGTTCTTGCGTTAATCTTAGAAGTGAGAGAAATATTATCCCAGACATTTCTTAGATAAATTAAAGAGGTAGCATTTCATATATATGAATACTCTTTGGTTTCTTGAACCGTAATAAATGGTCCAACATAAAAATAATTTTTCAATTCGAACCAATAGTTCCTAAGATTAGAGAGTTTAAACAAAAATACTCTTTAGCCATTTAATATGAACAACATAGAAACGAATAGCTATGCTTAAAATTTAGTAGGTATTACTAAACCTAAACATTGTATTCGCGAAATTGCGTAACCACAGTCCACAGTCTAATTTCCATTACCATAAAAACATTCGCTTAATAAGACCGTCAATATCAGCTGATTGCTGTACTTAAGACGCATTACAGGTTCCCGCCATTTTTTAGCGGCGCCATTTTCTCCACTTGTCTCATCTCGGGGTACTCGGGTAGCGGTTGTAATTTGAGCGATTATGTCTGGCAACACTTTACGTTGCATTTGCATAATAAAATTACCGCGGTCCGCGGACGCATCAGCGTATATTGCAAAAAATATCGATCTCAAACGATGCAACGATCGTTTATAAAGGGGCTATTTGAGGTTGTTAATCGAATATCCTGTTACGAACACTGGATTCATAATCACTAACTGCTACCGCTCTGAACCGGCTTTTTATTGATTAATGAGAAAAATACAATATTTAAACTTATTTGACTAAGTATATGAATTTAGATACTACAAGTATTATAGTTAATTGGTTTGTCTTTTTGTATTTTTTATTTACGATGTTTAGAGTTTAGATACATATATGTAGTAGAAAATTTAAACTTAAACAATTGTAAATGCAACTTTTAACAGTAAATTCGAACTGTCAATACTTAATTTTCTTAAATTTATTATTAAACTTTCTATACGTACTACATACCTACCTACTACTCCTAAAATGGCCTGCAAACAAGTCTTTAAGCAGTAGGAAGTGAAGAACAGGGTAAAATTAATAATATTGTACATTTACCTTCTTTCACCTAAGAATAACCAGAAGTTATATATTTTGTTTCGCGAGACTAAATGTAAAATTTATTTATTAATAAATACGAATTATATGATTGTATAGACTCAAGCACTTTACAAACGCTTCAAAACAAACAAAAGGGCAATTAGTGGTTGATGAGACTTTGACTTTTTTAAAGCTACCCTCAGCTCTTTAAATTTTTCAACAGCAACTCTACAAATTCTCTAACATAAAAAGTACGAGATCTAATTTTATATAAATAATACCTACGGTCTAAAGAGTGGAAACTACTTATTACAACAGCCACTTAGTCTCAATTTACGCATTACCAGGCGTTAATAAATATAGAGCGGTCATTAAAAACCGTTACGAAACTTTAAAAGTGGTTAACTTGATTGACACTAACGCCTAACACGAAGATAAACATACTTATTTCTGCTGCATTAGCTGTTACAAGTTTAAGACCAATTGAACGGAATAGTGGCAACACTAGAATGTAACTCATCATTATTTATACTCTGTAATTGTAAAAATATTTACTTATTTATTATAGATTCGTTCGATTTATTGTAGATAGCTTTATTCCTAATATGTTAGATTGAAAAGTACAATTCATATATTTAGTGAGTAAGACTTTAATTTTATTTGTTATAAAATATCCTAAATTCGAAACTCATAGAGTTTTTTTTTTATAAACCCAAAGGTTTCAATTTTCATACCCGCATTTACAGTTTGTTCTCTAGGACTTAATCCAGCTTTCCTACTGTAAACAGACACAATAGCGTTGTACAATGCAACAAAGAGGTTGCTTTGTAAATTATTTATAGGTGCCTTTCGCTTTTATAGAGCAATTTGAGGCTTACACGACAATCCCGACCATTATACTTTGTCGGTAGAAATACATTTACAAAAAGATACCCACATAAGACTATTACGGAGTTATTACTTGTAATAAGTCTAATTAAGTTATTACAATCCTAGACAGCTGTAAACAAAGTCCTATGTCCACAGGAATGATAATGGCGTCTTTTATTATGTGTCCTGGTACTTGGCAGCGGGGACATGTGGATTCTTAGTAAATTAATGACGCATTATCTACATTGCTAAGTATTGTCTGTAGTTTACAAGAGTAGTATGCACTTAAATAAAACTTTAACGGTTTAAAACTCGAAATATATCAGTTAATTTATTTTAACTAAGACATTTCAGACGATATGTAGTGGCCGTGGTATTTGGGGAAAGGTATTCTGCAATTTATAGCGATAAATGTTGTATTTTTTAAGCGTCATTGCTGTTAAATAATTAAAGAATAAAAGGAATATCCATAATTTTATTAGCTAGTTACTTGTTTGATTAATTAAACACGAAATTTTTATTACCAGACCTAAGTTCATGTAAATGTTTTGGGACGAAGACCGAGGACACCAAGACGAGTTCCCTACCTTCTTAAATTGTTTTAGGTTAATTACATATTATAGTCGTGATAAATAATAATCGCGTGTAGTATGAACTTTGGTTAAAAATTACAAGCTCATTATAAGTAAATTGTGGTAGTTTTTTTAAGTTATACTTTTAACGATTTTAAATGCAAAATATACTAGTTAACTAATTTTTAATTTGATTGACCTACGGTCCGACGTTTTGAATGCTTTGCATCAGCCGTTGTCACGGCGGGACTGAAGATGGCGGGTATCCCTAATTGCAAAGCCAAAACTCCTACGCTAGCGCCATCTCTTTCGTCGAATTTTTAACTTGAAAAAACTGGCTAGGTTACAGAACTAATTCATGATGTCGTTTACCATTAACATGAAAAATAAGTTAACTCATACATTTCTGCGTTTAAATCGTGGTGTTTCATTTAAAAGCCTTATTACCAGTTACTTGTTTGAAATACGTTATAAAGTACTGAATCCTAATATAATAAAAAAAATTATTAAAATAAAATTGTATATTAGCGAATCGAAAATAAAAACTCGTCAACTATTCGTCTGTTTTTATTGCAAAATCAATAAAAAACTATGTGGTGTTTTGCTTAGACTCCTTCGCGTTTTGTAAGGCTTGCGTCAGGTAGACCTTAGCGAGACCCTGAGAGCAGAACTGGCTTATGTGTTGGCTGTAGGTATTAATTTGGCCGGCCACAATCATCGGGTTGAGTCTCGGTGGAACGGGCAGAGGTTTGAAGAGTTTGTTAACATCTTCATCGGGTAGAGCCGGTTCATCTTTGGCAGCCCTTGCAGCATTCTCTTGGGCTCTCTTGAGGAGCCAACGGTGTTTGTCCTGTTGTTGACGGACTACCAACTGTTGGTATCTGTTAAACTTAATAGCTTCTTGGTTTAATTCGTCAACGCGCTCCATTAAGCTTCGCAATTGACCTGGAATTATTAAATGTGTTAAGTAAAAAGTCATCTATTTACATACATCTACAAGAATGTTCAACTATCATATTTTATGATTGTAATCCCTCAGGATCAAGTGGTTTGACATGGCTGCTGCAAAACATCCATAACGACAGGTCGTAGTTAATAAATTAAGAATAAGTAAGAAATATACTTCACGTTTTAACCCTTAAAACCGTTTTATTTTTATGGGTACTACTGGCATAGAGTAGAGACAATTCTTAATTTTAGAAGTCTTCAACAGCTGTTTAATGAATAAAATAAATATATTTGCTAATTAATTCATACCTATCTTAAAATTTATCAAGGCCAATTATTTCACGATTTTTTGCCTATCAAGTTTCTTATTTCTGTATTGTGATATTGTTAAGCGTTCACGAATTTAAAACATGGCTTATTAAATTACCTTCAAGTACAGACGCAGTTCCCAAATCCAGGAACTTGGAGCCATCCTCCTCTGGAATCATCTCTGACAACTCGGACATCATAATGTTAGTTAAAGGTGAGTTACGAATCACTATGGGCACTTCAATGAAAAGACTTTCATAACCAATCTTCAGGTTGCGTAGGGCTTCTGGCGTGTAATCTCCCTCTTTGTACATGGCTATGGCCTGGAAACCACAGCATAAAAATAATATTATAAAAGAGTACTATGAATATAGGGCTTAAATAAATGGTCCTAGTTTGTAGACCAAGAAGGGCAGAGGGACATAGAATAATTTTAAAACCCAAAAAAAAAACCTCATTTATCAAGCAAAACAATCTCAATATTTTTTTTTGATAGAAGCATGAAGCTTACTTGATGGAAAATAAATACTCTAGCCATTTATTCCATGAAAATGCGATTAAACTTATAATCTTAATCATGTGATAAACAAGCCCATTGCCCAATAGGAAAGAATATATACCTGAGGAGTGAGACGGTATGCCTTCAATGTGAGGAATCCTCTGTTAGACTTCTTAGTATCATATATGACAACCACGCTCTCTTCGATTGAAGTCTGGTAATGGTACTGGGACTCCAAAAGGGACTGACTCAAAAAGTTGCCAACATCAGCGCTTTGGTACCTGGAAATATTTAACAATGATATGAGTTTTAAGCTTCTCTGTTATTTACTCAGTGTTACATAAAACTAAATGCTGCTAAAACTCATGTTCTTGAAGGATTTGTATTCTTTTAAAAGGTCACTTTTTTATAAAGATATAAAATTGAAGCACTTGATACTTATTTTTTTTTATGGGAAGAAAAAACCTTTTGTTCTAACTTTGAATATTGAATAAGCACACACAATTTGTTTTAGATATCACTGTAGAGAATATGTAATTCCATTATTCCTATGTAGGACACATTTCATAAATATTTTACTGATAGTCTTGTGCTCTGCCTATGTAAAACGTGTTATGTTCCCCCTAACATCAAACCCTCTGTTTAGAGCAAAGCTATTAGTGACCCCAAAAGAAATAAAAAGGGGAAAAGAAGACCACGGCTGGGCTAGTATGTAGACTATAGACAACTGATTATAGTTATACTTACCATCCCACATGAAAATGATCAACATTAACTCTTCTCAATCTGCGCATCATGTCCAGCTGGTATTCCTCTTCATCCATAGTATCATCATGTTTGGGGAATGGGAAACAATTGGTGATCTCTAGACGGTTCTCTACAACTAGACCGAGGAGGGCTCCTTGAGCCACTTCCATGTTGCTGCATGATTCTTCATGGCAGTGCTTAACTATTTTCATCACCGCCTAGAAAGTTTAAAAATTACTTTATAGATTTACTTTATGAAATTTACTATCTATTTAATTCAGTGCAGATTTTTTTTTTTAAAGGAATGCATTTTACAGGCTCCATTAATTGTGTCTATGCCTTTTCTTGGTTATATATTATTTTAGTGTGTGACCAGAGCAGATTCTTGAGGGGGGCTTACTCAAAATGTTAGGCAAAAAAAATTATTTAAATTGTCATTATAATTTTTTATTGGGGACACTAATAGAAAGCCAGATAGGTAGTCAGTCAATATTTTATGCTCACCCGTTTTTATTACATTTTTAAATACCTACATAAAATTGAAAGCATTTAAAGTTAAAAAAAAACCTAATAGTATCACTGAATATCAAATGAATATTTCATCTGATATTTTTTAATTTTGTTTTTGCTTAGACTGTGCTAAGTACCTATACTGTTTCTTTTTAATATATTTAAGGTTTCAAAAAACGAATAATGGGAGGCGCGCTATAAAAAACCTAACATATCATCAAATGCATAAGAAAGTAATGAAGTAAGCATAAAAAATAACATATGAGTCATGAAAACGATAGTTAGTCTCAGGTAAATAAACTTTTATAAGTCTCATAACCTATACACTCCTTGAAACTTTATTGAAATTGAATACAAAATACAACAAAGCATGTAACTTTATATTTTATCTAGACACCGGGATAAAACAAGACAGAACTAAATACTATTTAATTTCGAGTAATAACAATTGAAACCGTTGTTACCACTGTATACGTATGAAACATGAGTCCATTAAAGTATTTTTTAAGCTTAATTTAAGTGGGTAAGTATAGGTAAGAAATACTTTAATAGATTTCAATTATAATTTAGGTAAGAAATACAGTAATACTGACCAATCCATCGCATTGTACGTAAGAAATTGCAGCTTCATTTTCAGGAACACGTCTAGACGATCCAGCGCGATTCGCCATTTTTAAAAAGAGAAAGAGAGAAGCGTAGTATCAAAATATTCAGTTCAACTGACATTCTACAGACTATGTCCACAAGATAAAACAGATTGTACGCAATATTATAAACTAAAAATGATCTCTGTCTATGAAATTAATGTACATACTTGACATGCTTATTTCAAAATGTGACGTTGCCGGTGGGGGAGAGAAAAAAAGTGATTTGTGTTTTGCTATTGAAGACCGATTGAAAATGAAATAATAACATTTTATTTTAAAGCCATATTATAGAATACCTAGTTATTTAGTATAAGTTACATTCTGCTTGAAACATCCGTTTCAAAAGGGATACCTACATGGCCATGAACGTAAAGTCTAAAGAGTTTTGTGCACAATTAGTATGTATTGCACTATTTCTTCGAAAATATGAGTAATGTATCAGCATAAGCGATATAAACAACTTTTTTCAAAATGAGTCAGCATAAGTTTTGGAAAGGGATCGAATCTTTAAAAGTTTCTACACAGCATGTCCCAGAAAAGATCGTAAAGCTTTGTTCTCTTGGTACCGATTTTATTACCTTGGGCAATGACCATGGCCTCTATTATTGTAATATTGAAGAAGATACATTAAATTTTAAAAGAATAAATGGTATAACTGCTATCGACATTTCATATCACAATGATATCTTATACATTATAAATGAACATGGAAGGCTCTACAAGACAAGTGTTAGCTTTAAGAACAAAGAAGAAATAGTTGTTAAAGAAGAGTCAAAATGCTGCCCCCATGGATTTAAGAGCGCTAGTTCGAAGGTCAAGTTTAGAAATGTTGTGTCTAGTGATTTTGGTCACTTATTCATTAGTTCAGGTGGCCATTTATGGGGATCAGGTGTTATGCCACAGATAGGTTTAGATTCAAACAGCATTAAGAAAATTCCATTCTTTGAAGGTAGAACAGTTTACAGTGCATCGGTAGGTAATAACTTTGCAGCTGTGATAGCTAGAAAGAATGTGAGACAATCTGGAAACTGTGATACTGATAGTGATAATGATGATGAAGAAGTGTTTGCCTCAAATTGTTCTCAGTGCCAAACAATTATTGGTCTTGCATCCCCAGCATCTGTACCATCTCTTTCAGAAACTTGTCCCTTAGGTGTCCACATAAGTAAATCTAGTGAAGACTCAAGCAGCACTACAGCACCACAGACTGATCTACATGTTGATGCTCATAGTTTTACAGAAGATTCTAGTCCTTCATCTGAAGAATCAAAGGTTGCAAAAAATGATTCTCCAGTTATAAATAATGATATAGAAATGGAGAGTACTTTGCAAGGTGACAATGATGATAATACTGATGATAATGAAACACCTAATGCTAGTACAGAAAAGTTAAATAACATTTTTATTAATACAGATGCAGCTAGACAGTTTTTAAGCAGGCAACTGTCCTGGGTTTCAGCCGGAGAAGATTATTTAGTAGAGTATACTGAGAAGCCTACTAGAATTATAAAAGAAAATGTTACAAATATTACAAATTTCGTATATGAAGGTGTTAAAACAGTTGGTGATAAAGTAGCAACATTATCAAGACATGTCAGTGGTAGTAGTGATAACAATGAAACCATAGATATTCAAAATCGAAATTGTAATGAAGAGATGATCAGTTCACTCCTATACAGTTGTAACTCATCAAAATTTGATGACCTCCAATTTTCAACAAGTACTATCAGCAGTGAAAAGGAATTTGAAGTGGCTAAGAAAAACGAAACCTTAAAAACGATGTCAAAATTGGGTAAAAATATTTTGGCAACAGAATTATGGACTTGGGGAGATATATCATATGGCCAGCTTGGTATAGGAGATACAGTAAAGAGAGTGAAACCTATGGTTGTCATGAGTCTTTCTGGTTTTGGCTTACAGAAGGTGTCATGTGGAAAATGGCATTGTGCCGCTTTGACATTAGATGGAAGATTATTCATGTGGGGATACAATCACTTTAAGCAAGTTAGTTTAGATAGTAGAGAGGATAAAAGCGGTCCTAAACAGTTTACGGAAAATTCTGAAAGTGATCGCATTCGTGATATGATTGCAACCGACCATCACACTTTAGCTTATACTCACAATGAGAATATATATTACATGGGAAAGCACACAGATGGATTTACTGACACGATTATAAATTTAAATGAAAAATTACATGATAATACCAATAACCATGAATCTGGAAAAACTGTCAAAATAAAAGAGCCCCAAGGTTTTGGTGAATCGCAAAACATGTGCTATCATTGGAGAGTTTTATCTTGTGGTTCTATAAGTTATTGTTCAGTAGACGAGGCTATGATATGTCCTGAATTCCAAAATCTCTCTATAGCCCAACGCTACCTAGAAGAGATGCTTGTTATATATCATTTACTGGTTAAACCTTTTCTCAGAAAGAGTAAAGCAATATCTTTACATTCCAATGTATATGAAACTGTTTGTGATATTTTTAGTGACATTTTAAACTTAACAGCATTAAATGTTTTATCAACGTGGCAATATGCAGAGAAACATATTAATGAATGTGATATATCATTAATAAAAAATTTAGAAGAGTATATTTATTTGTACAAGAAGTATTATGTAGCTTTAAGTAATTTAATTGTGATAGGTGGCTTCGCTCAAATTAACGCAATAGTTGACGTCCCCACTAGTGTATACAATATGTTTAGTGATCAATTACCTTCCAATAAACAGAAGAACAATAAGAAAACTTTGGAGGCAGTTGTGGGACTGGCGTTTATACAGCCGTTGATAAGGCTAAGTTCGTACAAGTGTATTGCTCAATCATTGTTACGGCACAAGACAAGAAGAAAAAAAGGTGAATCAAAAACGAATATAGAGGATAGAATTACAAAGGTAATCACATCGTTGGATTTACTAATCGAGGAACAGGAGAAGAGAAGGAAAGAGGCAGATATCACGAAACTGTTTTGGGAGACAATAGGAAAGGGCCTAGAACAATACAGAACACCAGAACGACGACTATTGCGCGAGTCAAAATCGAAGCAATTGAATCTTGTTAACCCTGGCCGCTTTTCCTCGCATTGGTTCATCTTATTTAACGACTTATTCATTCACGTTAATGGCAGCACTCCGATCCAGCATCCCTTGGAGACGTTATGGGTCGACGCATCTCCAAACACAGATATACAGAACGGTATCCAAATATCGACTCCGGAAGAAATAATATCGGTTTCGACCAATTCAGAGCAAGATAAAACTGAATGGATTCACGCTTTAAACTCTGCAATAAAAATAGTATTGAAGAAAGATTCTAGTTTTAAGCCCCCGGCCATAAGAAGCGCTAGTTACGTTTTCTCTAGTAAAAATGTGTTTTTCAAAGACGCTAAGTACATAGGAAGATGGCTCGATAGTAAATTGCACGGGAGTGGTAGAGTCGAGTGGCCAGATGGAAAGATTTATGCCGGTCAGTTTCAGATAAATACTCTCTGCGGGCATGGGAAAATGGATATTCCCGGAGTAGGTAAATTCTGTTCTGAGTTCCTTCTTACTTGATATGTTATAACACTGAAGAGTTTTTTTGCTACCTCGCTAACAACAGAATCTACTAAACCAATTTGATTAGTCCAATAACGATTTCTTTGATGCGACCCTTAACATTCAATCGAAAAAGCTTTCACATTTGAATGTTATATGTGTGTGAAATTTTAAACTTTACTTTATATCTATACTACTCAATGTTTTTTTTATTATACAGGTTCACTTGATGGAGGGTGAAATACCTAACAGATAACTATTACATTCTAACAAGATGCGCTGTCGTCCTATTTTCGCTTTGCATATTTGAAATTTCACAGACTAAAGCCCACACAGTGTAAATCCCCATACACTTCACGGCATTTTCATTGGTGGATTTTTATCTTAAGATTCTCCTATATTTTAGGCATCTATGAAGGACAATGGAAAGACAATCTCCAAAATGGATATGGAGTGATGAAGTACACAACAGGTGATATTTACGAAGGTTACTTCAAAGATGGACACCCTCATGGGCACGGCATTAAAAAGCAGGGCGATTTCACTTCTTCATCGGCGACTATCTATACTGGGGAGTGGGTAGGGGGGGTGAGACAGGGGTATGGAGTGATGGATGATATCGGGAAAGGGGAGAAGTATTTGGGAAATTGGAGCGATAATAAAAAACATGGCTGCGGTCTTATCGTGACCCTGGATGGCATTTACTACGAAGGCCTATTTGCACAAGATGTTCTCACAGTTAGTAATGTATTTGTATTTTGATTTTATACGACATAATTGCTTCAGGAATTGTTGAACATTTTGTAACATGCATCGTGTTTGCCCTGTGCTCCTTAGAAGACATACGTCTACGTTTTTCTGTCTACGGTGCATGCAATAAATGTGATTTTCCGTTTCAGGGCCACGGTGTCATGGTCTTCGAGGATGGCACTCATTACGAGGGTGAATTCCGTGCGGCCGGAGTGTTTTCCGGCAAAGGAGTTTTAACCTTCTCTAGTGGTGATAAGATTGAAGGTTCCCTAAACGGCGCGTGGACTGAAGGTGTTAAAATATCAAACGGCGTGATGCATCTGAATGTCTCGAATCCCGTTTTACCAGCTAACTCTAAGCCCAAGTGAGTTTTATTTCAACATTTTGAAGTGTTTTATCTTACTTACATTTACTTACTAAAAATACGCGTGCGCATACTTTCAGCTGAAACAAAAAACAACGTTTAAAACGCAATATATATTAGTTAAACTTATTTGGAAATTATTTTAACTTAGACCTGAAGTTTTCTAATACTTATAGCTTTAACTAATATATATCTCGTTTTAAACCGTTAAATTGTTTTATTTAAATGTGTACTACTTGCATAAACATAAAATAGTATTTAACCTAATTATAATTATTATAACTTGCAGCTCATTTGGAAAACTCAGCGTGGCACCAAATCAAAAATGGAACGCGCTTTTCCGTCAGTGCTTCCACTGCTTGAGCGTACCAGAAACGATCCTGACCCCCACGGGAAATCATTTTTCAAATGGCCCATGCCCCACTTTCGACAACGTTAAAATTTGGCAGAACGTCGCCGTGGCTATATCCTGTTCGCACAAAGAGCACAAGAGCCCGAAGAAAATGAAAAGCACTGATATAGAGAAGTCAGTGGATTGCTTGGAAGTGATACCGCATTTTGGCCAAAAAACCCTCTTGATGACTGATTACACGGAGTTAAAATCGTATTTGTATAACGTAAGTAGTTTATACTGTCAAAAAACATGAATATAATCAATTACTTCTATAATTAATAAATGAGGCTGCCAGAGGCAGAGTGGCCTAATAACAAAAAACATGATTTGCGATAAGAAGGGGAAAAAATGCTCAATTAATTAGGCCAAAATAAATTTGTACTACTATTTGTTTAAGAATTATGTTAACAATTTTTGGTCACTGAGCTCTTGTCATTTGAAAATATAAATAACTCAATTGAAAATATAAATAACTTAATTGAAAATATAAATAACTTAATTGAAAATATAAATAACTCAATTGATAAAATAGTAGTTAGGTTACTCTACCTCTAGTAGCTTTAAATATAAGCTTAAATCTGTGTGTGAAAATCGTAGTCATTTGATTTTAAAATAATCTCACTTCATGTTTAGACTCTTTTTCGAGACACGTTTTATCGCTTGTAATTGTTTTGTGTCAATGTTGACATATGCGTTTGCGCATACAACATCACAATTTAATTACAAGAATCATACTTTATCTTAACGGGGTCATTGATACGCATACTTTCATTGTAAGTTGTATTTTTATCTTTCAATTTGCTGAATGATAAGAATAACTTCTAAACATAATAAAGTGACGTACAGACGTGTACATAACACACACCTATGTGTGTGACCAGAGAAACCGGATACTGTACACATTTAGGCTATCGCTTGTAACATTAATTACAATGTCTAAATTAAATACTTTTTGTATTTAATTACTATGCTTTACTATCTGACCCATTTCCCTAAATCAAAACAAAACCTATAAAAAATATTACAGGCCTGTGAAACGACCCACCATCCTTTAGGACAACTGGTGTTGAGCTTAACCAACGCCTTTAATACCACGTACGGCGGTGTAAGAGTCCACCCCCTACTTCTGAGTCACGCTGTTAAAGAGCTGAAGAGTATAACCACCAGGTTGTACCAAGTCGTACGTTTGTTATTCCCAGCGTTGCCTCTAGAGGGCACTGATGTCATACTGCCATATAAGACGGAGGAGCATAGCAATGGTAGTGAAGATAGTAATCCTATTGATGGGTGAGTTGAACCGTTAGGTTGCAAATAATGTTTCACTTTAAGTTAATAAAACACTTAACGGTTTAAAACGCGAAATATATTAATATCCAGCAAGTTTTTCCAAATACCATGTCAAAACAAATAACGCTAGTGTAAGGACACCCTCCCTCTCCCCCCTGTGAGCACGGCTGCTGAACCGTAGTTAAAATAAGTTAACTAATATATTTCGTTTTAAACCGTTAAAAATGATTTATTTAAAAGTGTACTACTGAAAATGTTTACAGAAATGTCTTAATATTAAACTAATTTAGGCTTATTCAAGAACTGAATAGAAACTGCGTAAAAACGCACTTAAAAATATTTATATTTCAGTGAAGTAGTCTCTGCTGCGTCTCTCCTACAACCAATTTTGCTACCACGAGTCCACCCGGCTCTGTTCGTGCTATACGCCTTGCATAATAAGCGGGAGGACGATTTATATTGGAGGAGGCTTCTCAAATGGAACAAACAACCGGATACTACGCTGATGGCGTTCTTAGGAATCGATCAGTGAGTTGAATTAAAATACTTAATTTGCATGTGTGTATTTAGTATTGATTCGTACTTATCTATACTAATAGGTACATAAAGCTGAAGAGTTTGTTTGTTTGAACGCGCTAATCTCAGCAACAACTGGTTTGCATTGAAAATGTTTTTTGTGTAAAGACGCACCAATAACATTATAAATAAATATGTACCGCCTATAGCTAATGGAGGGTAGTTTTTGACACATGCGCTAAACAAACAAAACGACTATTAACCTTTTTTGTTAGAGCGATATTTAATAAAAATATTCAACAATATTTATTTTATAAGCTCCACTTTCTTTTTTTAACACACAATAACTACACTTGCTAACATTATAAGCCATTTCAGAAAATTTTGGACGAACCCAACCACGCATTTGTCCCCTACATACTCCCCGATGAAGGAACAACTGTTCCAGGACGCAGTGGAAACACTGCAGCAGCTGAAAACTACCTTTTCCCCGATAGAAAAACTCCTAGTCATCAGAAGCACCTTCCAGAAGATGACTGTAGCGGTGCAACAGGAACTTGGTAAGATTCAATCGTCCATATATGTGATAAGTAATTTTTTTTTGCACTCAGGACATAAAGGGTCGTTTACTAATGCTAGTATATGTTGGATAGCTGTACACTTCTTGGGCCAGCTACTGTGAGACTATAATATAAGTATTTTAATTTATTCCAGGTGCTCAATATCTCTGGAGCATGGACGAGTTGTTCCCAGTATTTCACTTCGTGGTGGTGCGCGCGCGCATCCTGCAACTTGGCTCGGAAATACATTTCGTTGAGGACTTTCTTGACCCGGCCATGCAGCATGGTGAATTGGGTCTTATGTTCACTACGTTAAAGGTAAGAAAGAAGTATTAAAATTGTAATACTTGTGAAGTTATAAATTGCCATTGCTTTTGGCCAGCTTTGTGGATTTAAGCCCGTATGTTCCTTAGAAGGCTTGTGTTCCAGTTATGGGAATTGTACAAGAGTTAATAAGAGAATTCCAACAAAAGATTTCCTGTAATGTAATCTTCAATTGTGAAAGCTGCTTCAATACAATTAGGAAATTGCTTACAGACAGGATATTTATGTCTTCACGAATAAAAGTTTTAAAATATGTCTTTCAGGCCTGCTACTTCCAGATACTGCAAGAGAAAATGTCGATAAATTAGTAATCTGAATCTTATCATTGTCTATTTGTATTTGTGTGCTTAATGTTAGGTATCTGCCATGAATCGTTAGTGATAGATGTTTCCCCATTCTTGTTACTCAATAATTTGTAGGTTGAGAGTGTCTTTACAACAATTTATAAAGAAATTAAAAAGCGAAAGAATTTTCAATTAACGTTAAAAAAATATAATCATTAATCGTTGATATGTGCACAGTACAATTTTTGTTAATAAAAGTGAATGACAAAGATTGTCACACCAAAGAATCAAAGTATCCCAATAGTGTTCATTGTTATAGATAGAATGTTTTTTCTGAAGAATTGAAGGTAGAAGTTATGTGGGTAGTTTTAAACAAGCTTATGAAGTATTAATATAATTAATTCAGTTGTTAAATAATATATATCTTATTTAATGTAAAGCTATTATAATTTTTATGCTATCAAATGTGTATAATATTTTTTTGTTTTAAATTTTGACAACTTGGCCTCAAACCAGTTTTGTTGTCGATTCTAACTTTCATTTTCGTAATGACAACTAAGCTAGCCTCAGCCATGATTACACTTGCCATTTAATAATAATTTAATTATTCGTTAAATTTGAATGTAATACAAATAATGTGCGTTTTATTTTTGTATAAATTTTATTTAAAGCTTTAACTGATCCAAAGTGAAAAGTACAAGTTAAGAAGTGTTAAAATTACATGCTGGTTATAAGAAAATTCTTATATATGGCAACACTGCAAAGAATTTGTTATAACCAGTTAGCTAAGATAGTATTACATATCAAATAATAAAGGAGAAAATGTATCAATTGAAGTGTGATTGTGAGTTAAGAATATTTATTGAAATTTGAAAATTATTAAAGTTCTTGCAAATTATGTATATTTTTTATTTACTCTTAAAACAGCAAATAATATATTGAATGTGATCTAGTTTATTTGGATTAATTATGAGCCTTGTATTGATCATCTAAGTCGACTTGAGTTGAGAACGGCCTCTAGTAACTACCCTCTTCTACTAGGTGTATGAAAAATCCAACACACAATTGTTTATTAAGGCTATTTATTTCAATCCTATAAAATAACATACCAAATGTCTCTTTTGTACAACGTCATATCAAAAATGTACACCATTATATAAATTTCGCTTCAGGTAATTGTTAGCTACGTACCAGTTACCCTCCATGGTTAATACATATATAATTCCTCTCACTTGTCTTAATTTCTGAGGTACAGTCGCCGCTACTAACGCAATACATAAACGCAATATATAAATGACGACGACTGTACAGGTCAAGCCGTTCGCTGTACACTATCTACAAGCCAAGTAATTCATAATATAAAATCCCGAGCTATTTCTGTACATCTATACCTAATATGTCATTTGGATCTTTAATATCGGAATCAGTTTGGAAGGTAGAAATCATTGATTGATTATCGAAACCTTTGCTACATGACTTACAACAAAAGGATTCGCACCAAATTTTGAACGGAAACTGATGATGAATTACGCATGATATGTAGTACAGCGTAAGCACAACCTTACAAATATCAAAACGTAAATCGCTGTTTTGTCCGCGTTAGTAACTGAATTTGTACTTTGTTTACGAGCGAACTTAATAACAGAGCTACAGATTACATATAAACACTAAATTGATCGCAGAACATAGTTACAAAGAAAATATTAATTGATACTTTTAAATTTACGAAACTAAACCTTTCCATATTGCCACTGTGACGCCTCAGAAAATGAATTACTTATTTTTTATTGTTTATGTGTAATAGTATAGTTTCCTTACATTACACCAATGCTTACAATTTTAAGCTTAAAGTATTTTGTAGACTTTAAATTTCTTGCGTTGTGATATCTTGGCGACATTATGAAAATGATATACGAAGGCACAATTATAAAATTATGTATGGCGGATTAATAAAAGTACTGCCCAAAATAAACAAGCGGAGGACTCAAAAATTATTGCGTTAAAATCACTACCTCACAATCATACCTTAACATTAAAATACATTATAAAAATCATTGAAATAAAAAATCAATATAACAACGAATTCCAAATCTCGAATATTCCATAAAATACGTCATTACATAAAATTATTACACATAAGACATTAATCGTTAGCGAAATATCATTAGAAATTTATTGCATGCATTAATTTCATTAAAAAATTAACAATTACCACTAGATAACATAGATGGACGATTTCGGCTGTCGAATACGGCATAGTTTGTAAATGAAAGTAGATACAGACAATTTTAAACCGTCGAGCAACTCATATATTGAAATTGAAAAATTTCCACAGTATTACCATATACCACAATTTCCCTAAAACTTGGGAGTTCACATAACAAAATGCTAACACTGTTTTAAATTAAATAGTGTTATAAACCTTTCATCTTATTACGGGACAAAATGTCCGACAATGGACAGTGGTATCTACCTTCATTTAACACACTAAAAATGTGCAATCACAGGGAATTATTGGGGGTGTCTGCGTTAAAAAAACAATTGAACAACAGAATGCTTAACAACTAGAAACCAACGTATATATTACTATAACATTATACATCTATCGTGTTATGCTTACAATTAAATGCTCTACCGTGGCTTATGCGTGATAAAACTTGAAGTCCACTAGGGGAGTCTTAATGTTGCCTAATAAGGCCGATACTTAAATACATGATACGATGAAGGGGACGGCCGATTCGTAAAAACGTGCGCTTACGCATCCAGTAGCTATATTGGCATTGCGAGCTTAGATTTGCCATATTATAAAAAATGAAGATAACAATTCAATGCATCTTAAACAAAATCCTAGATTTATATCAGAATCTGTTTCGATGACAGGAGATAGTATATAATATAAAAGATACGACACGTCGTTTATAATGTAAACAAAGGTACATATTATGAAAATAATTGAGGCTTCGTTGTTAAGAATAATATATCTTTATTTTCATTTATTAAATACATTTGTTCCAATGGTTCAAATCCAAGCGTCGCTTTCCAATCGAAATGAAAAATCATAGAGTTACATTATACGCCTGTACATTTTCAACAATGAAACTCTAAACTAATGCAGTAAGTTGCTAACGCGGTTGCAACGAGGGTTTCATTGGTGGAAACATTTCAACGAAGATTTGCTATTGGTTTTTCGTGAAAAAAAATTCTAAAATTCAGAGAAACTAGAATTCAATATGAAAAAAATTTGTTATATTGTCAATGTTCAAGGTGCCGTCGAATAGGATAAATTATATAAAATCAAAATCTGCGATTTTAACCGTCGACGCTTAAAGCACAAAGGCGTTCGCGGATTACAGGTCACATTAAAAGGTTACAAACTACACAGAAATATATTCTAGTAAATAGGGTATATACATACACCGACATAGTCACTAAATAACAAACATGTACATACATAATTTTAGTAAAATGAATCGACGGCCGCTTATAAGACGGCCGAATAAAAAAATCTTATGTACAACTATTACTGACGTATTGCTTGCGTACAATAAAACGATACTTCACGAAGTTTTGCCAAGCAAATAAAAATAAATAGGTAGCTTACGTTAAAGAAAGGGTAAAACCGAAATCCATTCGAATTAGTGCCAAATGTGCGTTGTGATAAGACCTTTAGTCGTTCGAAACACTTGTTGCTTAATAATACTGTAAGCACCATCGAGTTTACTTAACAAATCCTACACTTAAAAAGTGGATATCAAAAATGTCTCGAGAATGACGAACGAAAATGACCGATTGAAATCAATACGTGCGTTATCCGACAACCGTTAAATATTGCAAAAGCATATAAATATAAAAGGGACAGTCGACCCGCTTACTTTTCTCTCTCACCGTACTTTATTGTGTAAAAATATATCTGAACCGTTCGGTTCTCTAATATTTCATGGCATCGAATTCTTAACTAGGTAATACTGAGTTAATATTTTACGTTGATTGGTTATATTAAAAACGTAAGAGACGCTAAGCAAAAAGCTACTTTACAGACATGTTAATAGAATTGAATTTAAGATAAAATCATTTCGCGTTAGATATGTGAATTTAAAATAATCTGATTCGACTCCGATAGATTAGAGCGAGAATTTGATCTAGAGGACACCGAAAAACAATCTATACTTTCACCCGTTGGCTGAGTTAAAAATTCTTATATTTATCTTAAAACTCATATGACACTGATATTATTCACATTATTGTCACGAAAGTATATGAAAATGATAAGAAAGTTTATCGCGATCACATTAATGCTTTTGTGCAGTTATTTATGCCAAGATTACACTATCGTTGCAGAAATGTATTATTCGTAAACGATAATTTTATAGATTGTGAATACCCACTGTTTATCCCAAATTCGAGATTTCACGAAACACTAAATAAAAGTGGTTATATATGTATCAAATGTATAGTGGAAACTTGACCAAATGTGCAATAATAAAATACTTTCAATATAATTATACTATTGCGTTATTTACACGGAGTCAATCGATAATGTACCTTAAGCTTACGTTATTAAGAGATAGTTTCAAATATTGAAAATATTTACACGTCGCAAATTTCGTTATTTCGAAAAATACAGGGTGTCCCAGAATATTTTTACTTATTTAGTACTCAAGAAGTTACTGTATTGATTCTAATCTGTATTTTTTTATTATAATCATAATAGGAGCTATTTTCACTAATTTATACAAAAAAAAGAGTGGAAAACTCCTTAAAAAGTGATACAATATGTATTTCGTTTTCACCTATTATTATTTAAAAAAAAGTGTGCGATAAGACTACTCTAGCCTACATCATTAATCTCTGATTAAAATGATAAAGTGGTGGAATCTTACAAAAAATCCGAGACATCCTGTACTGTACATAACATCTGAACTTACTGATATTTGTTCCCAAGCACGATATAAAAAGATAAAATCGATTCCCATTAACGACTATAGCGGGAAAGTCATACCGCGTGCGGACCTACGAAACGTAATATACACCGTTACACTCCGTAACAATTGCGCGTTACACGTAACGTTTCGGGGGTGCGCACGTTACAAGCCGTCGAAACGAAAATTACACTGACCACTTACGTACTAGGAAATACCTAAATTGTAAAATAGGTACAAACAAAGTCCTTACAATCCAGAAGGCAAAATTGGCACTTAATACAAAGTTCGCTCCCTTATTGATGATCGTCTGTATGAAGGCTATGAACGGTCTGTCAGTTTGCATGTTCAGGGCGATGTCGCGAGCTTCGGTGGGGCACGGGTGGTAGACGCGCGAGTAGTGGATGCGCGTCTCGCGTAACTGCGCGTGCGCAATGTGCGTATCGTGCAACGTGAACTCGTACACGTCGCGTGCGCAATGCGTACAACTGCCACACGCGTCGGAGTGATATGCATATGCGAACTTGTCGGAATGACGGACGTGCAGCTTGCGCGCGCGTGTATCGTTTGTCATACAATTTTCGTTCATATCGTTATGGGGGAAAGGGTTCACTTCGCCGTGGCGACGGGCCGCGGCCCGAGGCTACATGGACGGGGACGTGTTCTGTGTGGGGTTGTACGGGTGATTCGAGTTACGCAGCACTGTGTAAACACTGTCAACCTTACTCAGTTTCTCGAAAAACGGTATTAAGTCCAATAGCTCCGAATCCGTCATGTCGTCGAACCATGACGCGACAGGTACCTGTAAAATAAAGCAAATAATTCAAATACAATTTATTTATTAGATAAAGCACTAAAACCAGATAGTGAACCAATAGAAAACACTTCTTGTCAAACAAAACGAAAATTTTTCCTACTATAACAATATTTTCAAGAATATGTAAATAATGACGATGTCAAGAACCAATCATAAATTTCTTTATTTGCCATAAATTTAAACGTCGTTCTTTAAGTAGTTACGATGTTATCACTTCAATTTCGTTTTATTACTATCGTATGTTCTACATATCATATTACATTGTATAAATCAATGTAGTTAATTTCATTTCTAGGCATATGCCTATGAAGTACCTTCCTTATAGTGTCTACCATTGGTGATTTAATTGTATTTAAATCTCTCTCGATATATAATTGTGTAGACTTACAGCGTTATCAGGATGGAATATGTAGGAAGCGGGCGAGTTGTCAACGATGACTACTCTCCGCAAGTCCCGGCCGAGGCTGTTCAGGTCCTTCACGTAGTTGCCCCGGTGGAACACGCAGCTGTCCCGGAACAGTCTCGCGCGGAACACGCCCCATCTGTAATCACGAAGGAACATATAAACATTTTACGAAGTAAAAGGGCTCAGTGGTCTAATGGTAGCAATGTATGTCGAGAATTCGATCCCTACCGGGGCCAAGATGTTTCTTAATTTTTCAATTTATAACTTTTCTGAAACTCGTGACATTGTCTAGAATTCTGGATATTAAACGGGTAGTAATAGTAGGAATATCGAAAATTCCATCCGAGTCACTTATCACCCTCTTCAGGAGTTTAATCGCGTTTACGTTTCAGTCTGTGAATTTCCGAATATCCAAAGCCAAAATAGGTCGACAGCGCAACTTGTGTAGATATTATGTGGCTGAGGTATATCACCTGCGATCATGTGAACTCCACGCTTGTCTGTCCACCTCTATTATATAAAAAAAACAATAGAAATAAAAGTACTATGAAATACATTATTTTTCTATGTTGTTAATTTTCGTTAGGTACGTGTGGAGGTTTGTACCTGACAGATGTCAATGTGTCTTTCAATCTCATTTACTACTGATAATATAAAAAATAAGTAATATTAATTTAGTGTTTCTTGCAATTCTTCTTCTTTTTATTTCTTATTACAGACAAGTACATCATGACTACCCCGAGAACATGCCACATATCTTAAGACCAAATTTTATGCTTGCATTCATATGTACGTATTGAATTTGAAGTGTGATGTTGCCCAATTATATACAACACCCCACGAACAATTTATCAATTTGTATCGTGCAATAAATTAGGGACTGTAAAATGTACACGTCAAAGTCCTATAATGCCCCACCTTGAACAACGGTTGAACCAGTCCCAATATAAAATATCTTCGTTGGATATTGCTATCATTTATTAACATTATTGTTTTTGTGTATTAGACCATTAGAGTAATGATATTGACTGACTTGCTAAGTTGAAATTCGTCAGTAAAAAGTTTGCTAAGCCGTAGTCAATTAACTAAGTTTTTTTTTATTATAGTAGAATATGATAGAAAATACCCCAGCCATATAACATCTTCGCAATATGGGCCGAAATATGTCGACCGATTTTGGCTTTGAACATTCGGAATTCAAAGCTTATAAAAGCATCATATAATTGAATTACTTCGAGGCTTGATCAGCTCAACCCCACGTCTGTCCATTCTTACACAAAGACCCCACATAACCACCTTTCAAAACATATCCTACGCCATTTGTTTTAAACGGCCCCTCCAGAGTGCGTTTATGTCGGACACTCGAACGTGTTTTGTTTTGCACTATTGTCTCGCGTGTTGGGTCTGAGAGTCTATTCAGACTTTTATTATTGCTGGAACCACTGTATGGTATGGTACTGCGCTAAGGTTTTTGAAGTGTAAAAGATTGAAAAACGCTCTCGACAGTTTAAAAAAATTGCTGTCGTCAGATATCTAATCACCTAATTGCTTCCGTTTGTAGTTTTATGCATAACAAAGTTAATGTGTGAATTCCCACACATGAACTTTAAATGATAAGTTTTAAAATATCCTTGTAGCAGTAGTAGTATCCACTACGCGGTTGCATTACATAACTCGGTAGCAATAACAGCCTATCTCACTTCCAGTTTAAATGTAACATTATAAGCTGACGAGTTTGTTTGAACTCGCCAGCTAGGCTCAGGAACTGCTTGTCGAAGTCATGTATATGTCTATGTTTTAAGAATAACTTGCAACAGGGACGCAAACTACACAGTGGGTAAGAGCTATAATTTATAAAGATTAGAAGGTTTGCAAAAACAAATTTTTATACCCAAAATAACTATTCTACGCGAACGAAGTCGCTGGCACAGCGTGTACAAAATATGTAGTTCAGGTTGTCGAGAAATATATGGTCGTCCCGACGCATTCCAATTCTGTTATTTATTCAATGAGAGGAGGGCAGACAAGTGAAAAACCCCAGCCACATGACATCACAAGGTGTCGATCTACTTCGACTGTTCGATTGGATATTCGGAAATGCTTTTATTCTCTCTATCTATTATCTTCTTAGTTGTAAATTACCTGTCCAAGAGATCAGCGACCGGGTCCGCGTACTTCGCCAGAGAGGCCGTGAACAGCACACATTCGTAGAGCTCCCCGCAGCGTCGCAGAAACTCGTCCACGTGCGGCCTCTTCAGCACGTAGACTTGGTGCACAGCGCCATCTATCTCCACTGGCACCACGAAGTCTGCGTTGTTTATGGGCTAGAAGAAGTCATTTTACCATTTTTTAATATAATTCTACAAAGGTTATTTTCTTGTATGTCTAAAGTTAATGAACAAAAAAATATTTTACCCCTGTTTGTAACAAAACATATCTAAATTTAAACAATACAAAAGGGGAAGTAAGTATTTATAAGTGGAGTACCCAACCCTTTTTTGGCGGAAAATACTTTTAAGAGCGACATACGACAACATTTTAGGATTTTTGTGCTACTATTCGGTGTTGAAAATAAAGTATATTTGTCTAATATCTTCTACACCAAACCTAATCTAAGAAGGAACAACAGAACCCAACAAAATAATATAATTGGTAACATAATATGGTAAGAAATATAATACAATAGTAAAATTAGAAACAAATGATAAACGAGATTTCAACCAAAATAAAATATACAATATGTACCTAGTATAAAAATAGTACAAAATGATTTATTTGAATACAGTTAGCACTCATCAACCAAATATAATAACTTTTAAAAGATTTTAATGATAATGGAGGATGACAAGACGTTTGAAGAAGAATACCCCCGCGACATAACATCGAACCTACTACATCGACCTATTTTGCGATTGGACATTTACCAGTACGCTAAGCATAACAAAATTGATAGCACCGCGTTTATAAATTACTCAGTGGACTGTTCATATCGTGTTTTCTCTAACGCGCAATCATGCAACAGGCACGTAGCCACATCCCACATGATGTCATGGGAATTCCCTTATGATATTCTTCATGTACTGCAATAAACTATGTACCCGATGCAAAGACTATATACAAATTATTCTATTAATGTAATATCAAAACAATTTTGCGTGAGAAAGAGACAGTATCTATACTAATGTATAAAGCTGAAGAATCTGTTTGTATATTTGAAGGCGCTAATCTCAGAAGCTCATGGTTCGAATTAAAAAAAAAATTAACGCTATAACACATCGCGATGTGACTGATAGGAGCGAAGAAAGAGCGCAAAATGTGGGAAAACACGGGGAAATTATTTGTCTTAGAGAGTTCCTGCGAAAACGGTTCTAGATACTCAAAAAATATGTATGAAGGAATGATTCCCCTTTAAATTATCTAGTAAGTCCGCTATAGTATATGTCTATCTTTTAAGATTAGGTAAAAGCTTAAATTTAGAGAATCGAACAGGAGGTTTGCAAAAACAAACTTGATGCCCAAAATAATTATTCTAGTCTAAGTCGCTGGCTCAGCTAGTATAACGACAAAGACGCATTTTAGACGAGCTCTTTGGTCTAACGGTAGCAATGTATGGCTACTGATCAATGGGTTGAGAGTTCCCCTCCTGCTGGACTTCGTTTCGACATCTGGATATTAAATGGGTGGTAGAAATATAGAATACTGTCTACAGTTTACGCGAGTAGTACACATTTAAATAAAACACTTTAACGGTTTAAAACGCGATATATTAGTTAAACTTATACAAAAATGATTTTTAACTTCTCACCCCGTGACCACGGCTGCTGCAAAGCATCCGAAACGTCGGGCCGAAGATAAAAATCATTTTCAAATAAGTTTAACTAATACATCGCGTTTTAAACCGTTAAAGTGTTTTATTTAAAGGAATACAGAAATTCCGTCCCGATCCCGAACCATCGTCTATAGATGAAACAGCCGTAAAGCTTAATCGCGTTTTGATTTCAGTCTGTGGATTTTTTAATATCCAAAATACCAAAATAGGCGGACAGCGCTTAATGTTTAGATGCTATAGGCTGGTGTATATCACATACCATCAAGTGTACCCCATGCCATGTCCTCCTGTACTCCTCGATCATTAAGAAAACAAAATTTGTTAGCAATTACTACAATCTTTATTATTAGTTTTGATAAACAAATGAATGTGCCGTGACTAATAACACAACGTAATACTACGTTTAATTTATTCGGCCACACTATTCTTGATGAGAGTAAAAAGGCGTAGGTATTACAAAATTTACTATATAGAAAAACGCATTGTACGCAGTATAAAGTATACATATTTAGAATTTTAAATTTTAATTATATGAAACAAACATACACTCGTGATGGTATCTTCCATTTTACAAAGCAGTTTTTAGATTTAAAAAAAACGATAACACGACCGAATTTGAACCCGCGACCTCCGCGTTCCGAATCTTTGCTCTACCAACTGGGCTTCCGTGTCAATAGATTGTTGAATCTTAGAAAATTTTCTTGTTAAGTAAGAGTATATTGTGTAAAATGTATTGTTACAAGTGGTTAATTATTGTGTATTTTTTCCAACTTGAGAATGTTTATAAACAAAGGCCGTCTAGAGAAAAAAGGGAATCAAAAAGTAATTTTTAATATTGAGATCGTTTGGCCTATATATAATAGAAAATATTATTTTGGTGTCATCTGTGCATCAACACACTCTATAAAAGGTCTCTGTGGTTTGAAATAGGCCATATTTGTTGGGTCTTTCTTGTCCTCAAGTTAGGAAAATACACTACATATAAGCTATTTAACACCTGTACCTACGTACTATCGTTTTTCTGTTCCGGTTCAGAAATTATCTCTATCGGCACGTGATATCAGCTATATTTGAAACAGGATTAAAAGATAGTCTGACTCACAATGCACAAACAACGCAAAGCTTAGTGCGTCTGTTTGTAATAGAAAATTTTTAAGAGACCGGCGCATGTTTTCTCCCCTAGTTGTATACAATCCTTTACGATTTAAAACGCGGAATAATTTATTTTATTTTAGCAATGGTATGGCACTCGTAGACCACGGCGGCTGCAAAGCATCCGAAACGTCGGATTGTATTCAAAATAAATTAATAACTGAAGATTATAAAATATATTGCGCAAGAGTTGCATGTATCAATCGGTTGAAAAGAAATCGATCACGTGTAGGACTAGGTAGCTCGATTAGTTAGAGGAAAAGCTCGCAATGTGGATGCCGGTTCAATTTCACGCCCATACCACCCATTCAATATCCAGATTTACATACGAAGTACAGTTTTTTAGGACAATTATAAATTGAAAAATTTGAAACATTTGGGACCCGGTGGGGATCGAATCCACGACCTTTTTGATTATTAGCCATGGATACATTATAAAATTGAATGTTATATGGCTATAAGTTAAGAAACGTAACGGTGTTACTAAAATAGTTGTTTTTTTTCTTTCAATTAATATGATAAAAAACATCAGTCGCAATACTAATTTGTCGCTATTGAAAGCATCGATCTATTCAGAATTTCAGAGGACGAGCCTTTTCAATTTCTAGGCACGTTTCGCGCTTCCACACAAAAAGGGAAACAATAGGACATCGCAAACATCCTCCGAACACGATGGAACATTGTGCAATGTCGGAGTATATATATATTTGAAATTCTTTATAAAAATGTAGGTCCACAATTCTGGGTCACTTTGCCAACTGGTGAATGCTTTGTGTTGTCTAGTAAAAATACGTATTTATTGTTAAAGAATATAATATTAAACATAAATAAAATCATTCACTTAACTTCATTTTATTTCCACCCCACGTTTCGACACCAGCCTTAGTCTCTTCTAGTTACGGCATACGAAACGTCGGGTCACAGTTGAAAAAAATAAGTTAACTCATGTATTTCGCGCAATACTAAGTAGTCATAACTCTGCATTTTGAAAAAGACCTATGCCCGACATAATGCATTATTTCGTCCACAATTCTAAAGCATTTTCGCATCAACAATCAACACATCTCTTTCATCGATCGATCTCTTAACGATTTGAAATATACTAGTTAACTTATTATGTATACGAGTCGTCCCCCCCCGGTGACCGCGACGACTACTGCTTCGGAAACTTAGGGCCGTAATTAAAATAAGTTATGTAATATATTTCATGATTTAATCGTTTTATTTAAAAATATGTATGTCTTATTATTTTCGTTATTACGCGTAGTTTTTAGTCTTACATAAGCACAATTCATAGAGAATAGATATTATTCAGTAGTTAAATGCGATAATAAAAATAATTACTTCGTTTTCCTTAATCCTATTCTAAACGACATCAATTGTTCAACAACTATTGTTTTGAACGAGCCTGAGAAAGTTTTCTAAAGCGTGTCTTAAAATGGTCTAGCGTGTGAGAACCGCTGTACTTCGAGATTGGAGCAGTTTCTGGTTCTACGCATCACTGTACTGTAGGAGTGTAATGCAGACCACGAGGTTCTGGGTTCGAATCGTGATTAGGCCGAATTGTTCATATTTGGATTATTTTCAAGAAATTTTCTAATACAAGCTGAAATTTGGCGGTGCCATCACGTCCGTTCCGCGGGGACCCGTTAATCCGAGCGGTATTATTTAACGTACGTAACATACAATAGCGGACTGCTTGAAATAACCCTCACAGAATAATATTATTGAGAGTTTAATTAGCAAACAAACTGATTTGTGCTGGAGACCTAATTAACGATTTATTGAGGAAACCTAAAACTAATTCGATAACTCTTTAAATATACTTGACCCGAGCAGAAAAACAATAGGCGCAAGGTTAAATAAAGCGTATTGTTGATTTTCAATAACGTCCCGCACGTGCGAAGTTCCGCATTTGTGAATCTTCTTAAGTTCGCTTATTATTTGCGGGTACTTTCCATACCTAAAGGGTACAAATACAAAACATACCTATTATGTGTCTATATACCTATTATACTGTCTGTACTTTACGCGAGTAGTACGCATTTACCTACGGCCGTCGTCGTCGGTGAAAGCCCGTCTCCCCCTCGTGGGGCATGGGGCGAACACATTTCTGTGTCCTTTCCACTGATCCGTTCTTTTAAAGGGCAAGTAGTTGATCAGACTTCTGTGCCCTGCCCGACCGAAACAATTCAATTTTCCTAGGATTCGAACCCAGGACCTCTAGCGCTTAACGCAATGCTAGGCAATACGTTTAACTATTTGGCTAAACGTATACATATCGCGTTTTAAACCGTTGAAGTGTTTTATTTAAGCCGATTATGATTGCGCTGACTGTCACTA